GGGGGGGGGGGGGGGGGGGGGGGGGGGGAGTGGGATCAAAAATGAATGAAATGGACAGGTACAAGAAAAGAATAAAGCATGAAAAAAAACTAAATGAGAGGGAAAAAGAATGACAAGGCAGAATTAATGCTTCATACTAATTTTTCAAATCTGTGTGTACATGTTTTTCCAGGTTCGAATTTTGTAACTAGGAAGATCAGTCGCTCTGTGGCGAAGATCCATCTTGGGCAGTTGCAGTGCTTCAGTCTGGGCAATCTAGACTCCAAGAGAGACTGGGGCCATGCCAAAGATTATGTGGAGGTACTTGAACACACTCACACATTTTGGTTCAATTCTGTTGAGGACGTACATATACACATACACTGTTTTCTTCTATGGTACATGGTGTACCAACCCATTGCCACGTTGTCTCTGTGAACGCTACATTGAAATTTCAGCCCTGTATTTTGTTTTGAAATGTCAGGCCATTTTCAGAACTCTGCAACATCTACACCAAAGCTGGTTTAGAATCACTTTAATTTAAACTAATCAATTATTTTAACTTAATATTGATGTTCAACATATTCTTTTAGCATTAGTTTGAATAATAATAAAAAAAAATATATATATATGTATATATATATAAAATCTTTATTATATACATTTAATTCTTGTTTTTATTAATTCATATTATAATTAGTAATGACTAAATGTAAAATCTGATAAACCCTGAAAATCTCCATAAATTATCCATATTGTATGAAAACAGTGCACATGCTTTGTATTAGTTGCATTGCAACACAATTATTCAAAATATGAGGTCGTTTTTTGTTGTTGTTGTTGACTTGCCCTACTTTAAAAAGCATAGTTGTGTATGAGAATTCATTGCATCGGGGTTGCTGTATTGCATAGTTTCTTTCTCGTTCTGTTGATTTTTTTTGTTACTGTTGATGCAATGTGCATTCCTGTTAAATGGTGTGTATGCGTTCTTAGTTATTAGTTTTGCAAGCATTACTATTTGTGGTAATGATAGATGCAAAGTGTACATAAATTCCGGTGTCTTCTGTTGCTATTTATTTAAGAAAGGGATCCATTGGTCACATGTTATTGCTCCATAAACATGTCAACGTGTCAGCCAGCTGGCTATGATGAAGATCCCAAAGTTCCTGATAAACTGAACTCCAGAATGAGAGCAACAGTGCATGAAATCATCAGCATCCTATTGACAAATGATTATTTCTCTCTAGTGCAGTAGCAATTTGCAACGGCACTTCTGCTATTGCTGTCTGTTTATGCTGTTGTCATCTAAAATTAGTTTCACCTATAAAATCAAGTCCAAAAAGGACCCCAAAGCAACTTAATTGGTATTGGATTGTGAAAATAAATGTGTCTCAACAACCCTCTACGTTGCGAGTAAATCACTCGCATATGTGACTAAATCCTACTCCGGACGACTAAATAATGTCTAACATTAGCCATTGGCTAATAAATTCTTAGATTTTACATGCCAGTATGTGTGTGAGAGGCGTTCAACACAGATTTTCACTCGATAAACATGCTGACTGAGTGCTTGAGAGTTTCGCTCTCCGTCAAGCGATCTGTACTATTTGGATGCGCTCAATGGATCATGTCATGTACTCAATGGATGCGCAGTATGTAGCACGCAGCGCACCTGTATTTGACGTACCGTAAACTAGTGTGAAGGCGCACGCTCGCCGTCGCTTTACTGATATCGCTGTGTTTCTCACACATGCAGAGAGAGAGAGAGAGAGTCTTGCAAGTGCACATTCAGTTATTTAAGAAGCTGTTCCATTTTACAAAGATAAGCTGATTGGGTGGAATCATATATATGTGTGTGTGTGTGTGTGTGTACCTACCCAATCATATTTTGGGGACAAATTTGTACCCAAAAGTGAGCAAAACCTGACAAAATCTGCAAAAGCCTCAATTTGTGGATGTCCTCATTTGTAAAACTGTTATAAAAATAAAGTAAACAAAGTTTTTTTTAACTTTTGAAATTGTAAAAGTGCAGAAAGTTTTCTGTTAGGGGTGGGTTTTGGTTAAAAAGTGTATAACTATCTGTATATAAAAACAATAGAGGTCTATGTAATGTCCCCATTTAGATAGCTAAGTAAACGTGTGTGTGTGTGTGTGTGTGTGTGAAATAATATATCAGTCTGGCGAGTAAACAAAAAAATTTACTAGCCAATGTCGATTATATTGCCAAGGTGTGCGTAGAGGGTTCCTCAATCATATTATCATGATTTCTGAAGGATCATGTGACACTGAAGATTTGAAAATTCAGCTTTGCCATCACAGGAATAAATTACATTTAAAAATATATTGAATTCAAAACCAGTTATTTTAAATTGTAATAATATTTCACAATATTGCAGTTTTACTATATTTTTTTTTTTGGTGAGCCAATGAGTCGTCTTTCAAGCTGTGAGAGTTTTGGAGACTATGATTTGCACAGCTGTCAAGGCATTTTGTATATATCTTACAAAATTTAAGTAATGATAAAAGCATGCCTACTGTTTAAATGAAATATAGAAACAAGTTTGTTCATCAGTTTGCCTGAGGATAAAATTCTATGTCCTCATTTACAACTATTACAAGAACTATTTATAACTATATATTCAGTTTGGTCTGCCATATGTAATGTGTATTTTGACCTTGCACTTTCTTTTCAATTTGTTTGTAATTACCCTCTGAGTGCACAGCCGTGCTGTCGTGTTTATCCTGGATTAGAGAGACCTGTGTTCCTTTAGGTTTTTGCCAGAGTTGGAGCTTTAGCTTTGTGTGTGTGCATGCATGTGTGAGCTGCTCCAGGTTTCCTGTGGGAACGCTGGTATTCCAGGCGGCTGAATCATGCAGCCAGGTTTATGTGGCTCAGGACTGGGGCAGATTTCGGGAAATGGGACCAAAGCTGTGAGCGTGTGTATATTTCTGAGAGTTGTGCGTGTGTGTGGAGATGGAGTAGATCAGTGCGGTTCGCTACAGAAACAGTCCATGTATTCTACTCCATGTATTTTACCTCCAGGCAAAGTACAAAAATGTAAAAATCCTTTGTCTGATCCATAGGTTTACATTTTTCCAGACAGACAGTGTGTCAATCATCTTTTGTTCGCACTGTTGATTTCTGTCCTGCACCTCTTGAAGGCCTCAACTCCACGATTCCTCCACACGCTATTCCAGTCAAGTGCCATCAGTCACTATTACTGTTTTAACTTGTATAGCATTGTAACTCGTGTATGCAGTACTATTTAGCAATAATGCATTAAATCGATCAAAAGTTACAGTAAAGACATTTCAAATGTTTCCTGTTCTTTTGAACTTTCTGTTGAATCCTGAAAAATATTTATAACTTTTTTTATAAATATATAACTGTTTTTATCTTAATAAATAATTATGCACCAAATAATAATATTAGAATGCTTTCTAGAGGATCATGTGACACTGAAGACTGGAGTAATGGCTGCTAAAAATTCTATTCACAGAAATAAATAATATTTTAATATACATTAAAATAGAGAACAGCTCATTTAAATTATAATAATATTTCAGAGTATTACTGTTTTTACTATATTTTTGATCAAATAAATGCAGCCTTGCTGAGCATAAAAGACTTCTTTCAAAAACATTAATAACAGCTCAAACTTTTGAACGGTAGGTTATGTGAGATCAAAGCCTTTTCTATGCATGTCTGTGCTTTTTAGTTTTAAGCGTACAGATACGACTCCATGTCGTCGAGGCAGTGGGAGAACAAAACTGTATGTTTGTGTAAACTTTTGAACCCGCGCACAGTTTTAATTGGTTTGCTGTTTGTATGACTTAATAAGCTGTTTGAAACTTGAAGCTTTATAGTTTTATAGAATTCAGACTTTCGGGCCTCCACTAAAAACATACATTAAATCAGGGCGCAAATGAAGTGAAGTTCAAAGATTCCTGTGAAAACACACAGGCTGAGCTGATAGTGCGAAACTCTCAACGGGGTCTTAGAGGTTGCTGATGTTTTTGTTATGTTTTAGATGATTTCACCTCAGATCGCTTTGTTTCTCCAGCAACAAAATGATTTTGTCCTCGTTCTCACCTCACGCATCCATCCGCACCGCCGACCAATCGCTGGTCTTTATGAGAACCCGACGGCCAGTCAAATCACTCATTAGCTCGGTGACCAACTATACCTGCAATGACCCGTCACTGCAAGAGACTCTTATTTCATGGCCGTAATGCTTTGTGTGAAGACTGCATAGGATTTTCCAAAAAGATTGTTTTCAGAGGAGACTGGGAAACCAGCTGGAACTTTTCGACCAATAGGACTTTCTCATTTTGTAGCACACGCACAATCTTTGGATTTTAATATATTATGGGAACTTTCCATAAAAATAATGATTTGTACAAACTGTAAATTCTGTCCCCTAAACCTAAGGAAATCGTTGTACATTTTTACACTTTCCAAAAAAAAAAAATATATATATTTGTTTAGTGTGATTTTTAATCTGTTTTCCTCATTAGGACCAAAAAATGTGAACATTTGGTCCCCACAATTTTCCTGGGCCACACAAACAAACACATACATACATACTTGCAAATGTAATAATATTGCTACATTTCTATTTCAATAAATGCTGTTATTTTGAACTGCCTCTAAATGAAGGAACCTTGAAAAATATGTATCAACTTTGGCATCACAGGAATACATTTTAAAATATATTATAATATTTTTTATTATATTAAAGTAATTTTTATTTAAATAAATACAGCCTTTTTTTATAATTAGACACATAATATATGTGTGTGTGTGTATATACTCACGTGAGTCATAAAAAATTAAATTCAGGCATCATCTGTCTAAATCGTGATTGAATTGTTCAGTTTGCTTACTGACTGAATCTGAAGTTTTAGCTATTCACTTGCTTGTTGACCGATTGAACTGTTATATATATAATAGTTATAATGTCTGACTCAAAATAGACTGACAATCATTACTGTGGTTTGTTAAAAATGTTACTTATAAGATTAGAGTAATTAAAACGGTCCATTACTATGAAAATCTGTAGTTAAAGAAACATATCAGCAACAGATGTACTGTAATAATGCTGAAAATGTGTATATTGTTATTGGTAATACTTTGTTTTATATGTATTGTTATTATCATTATTATTTGTATTATTACCAGAAAAAAACATAGTAATTATTAGTATAGTTTCATTTTAATAGTAAAACCATAGTCCAGTAGCAAATGCTCTAATGTCTGTGAGTCGGGTATGTTTTGTGATAGGCGGTGGGTGTTGTAGGGGTTGGTAGGATTTGGTGCT